CCCCCCCCCCCCCCCCCTGGTGATGTGAGATCCTGGCCCGGTGAGAACGTGTGGCCGCCGTTCGAGGTCGCGGCACGCCTGTTGCTCCCCGTAGGAATATTGCCATGATTTTTTTTGTTCAGGACAACACGTCAAGGATTCGCAACCCGAGATGGGTGTTGTCGGGCGAGGGATATTTTGTTGTTCTACCACACCTCTCGCCACTCGTTATGAAGTAATGTCCAAAACTATGATCCTCTTGTGCGTTGTGCGCACATGGAGACATGCCAGGATTCGTTGACCCTATTGTCAAGCCTGCGGCGTTTAGTTCCGCTGCGTGCTTCCACGGCTTGGATTGGCATCGCGTTGTAGGAGTTAGTCCCGTGATCGTTTCGGATACTGGACCCTGATGCGCCGTCGCTGCCGCTGCCGCTGCTGCTGCTGCTGCTGCTGCTGCTGTTACGTACCACGCAGAAGAGCGTTCGAACAGTTTTGGTGTTTTAGTTGCTACATACGTACATGAAACCCTCACTTTTCAACGTTCCCTCCCTTTTCCTCCCAGCCGCCGCGACTCCGCTGTCGTTACAGCAGCCTTGTCCTGGCCGTTTCAGGGTGTGGCACCACCGTCCGTGCCGGCACTTCACCGAGTAAAAAGGCAGTGTACGAGTCATTAAACGCTGAGATAAGATATCTCAGCACGCAACAAACTCACGCACCCCAAAAGATCCCGCGCATCCGACCTACAGTTGGCGCCTGCACTTGCAAACCTTCTAGTTTTGGCCGAGGGTGAGGTTCTTCGTTCCTAGGGTTACGTTACGAATGGCCGCTACATGGGTTTTTCGGTGGGGGTTCGTAGCCACACTCACAAATGGTGCTCGAGTTCTGCATCTTGAGTTTGTCGAGGCTATACAAATATCGATTCTAAAACTGACAAGTTCTTAAGTGCGGGCCCGAGCTGCTGTACCACGGTACGAGCCCGCAGTTAAGAAATGTGTCGTTCAGAAACAGACGGTCGCGTTAAAGAAAGATGGGTCAAGAACAAGAAACACACATCAGCGGCGGATCCTTAGACAAGACAACTACCTGTGCTCGACAGCAGGTGCAGCGGCGACGACATAAGAAACTGTTAAGCCTCGACCCGATCTTGAAGTTCCTCGTCACCGGGGCCCGTGCTGCTGTGTTGTATGTGTGTAATCCACCAGGCGGAGATCGCAGTCGACGTCGACGTCACTGGACATGACCGTCACCAAAGCGGCGAAGGACATGACGGTGGCGGTGGCCGGGTCGACCGGCTACATCGGCAAGTTCGTGGCGCTGGAGTGCGTGCGGCGCGGGTACAAGACGATCGCGCTGACGAGAAACCCTGACGCCGTGGTGGAGGGGGCGGAGATGGTGTTGACGGACGTGACGGACCCGGCTAGCGTCGACGCGGCACTAGCTGGACGAAAGGTGGGCGGGTCAGGGCGCTCCTGTCTTGCCAATGGCTTTTGGAGAAGACATCAGGGTTTTAGAGTTGCTGCCGGCCGCTGTCTCTCTTCTCCCTGTAGCTTGTGCTTTGTTGAAAATGCGCGTATGTTGAAAATGCGCGTAAGGGTTTGCGTTGCTGCCGCTGTCCCCTCCCTGTGGTGGCAGCTGCTGACCTGCTAGAAAGTTCGGTAGGGGGCTTTAGGGTTGCTGCGGTTGTCCCTCTCTCTATATATCTTTGGTCGTGGCACCTGCTGAGTACCTGGTACTGTTTGGGGTTGGGCATTTTTTTTTGTCGTTTTTTTTCTTTTTGCGCCCGCTTGTGTCGGCGATAAGGCTTGATTCTCGGCGCTGTAGCCTCTCGGGTGGGGTTTTGGCTTTGGCTGCAGCATGGAAAACGATCTGGTAGGTCGTAGGTAAACACACTTGGGGTTCACGGTCGACGAGGGAAAGGGATGAAAGGGATGACTGAACCCTTCTCGCGATATAACCCAAGGCAAGCACAGCAGGGGGAAACGTGGGGCAACAAAACAACACAAGAAAATATGGAAAAAATCTTCTCCGTGACACTGGCTGATACGTCAGGTATGTAATCCGACGTACGAAAGGCCTGTAAACCGGCGCCAGAATAGATGTGACAAAGCCTCACACGCACATGGTCCACACGCTACCATGTGGGATGCCTGCGGCGCGCCTGCGGTATTCAATTAGCATGCGTCGACCCCGATCTCTACATGGCGATGGTTTGGTGTCCCATCTCGCCGCAGCCAATACGGCCAAGATTCTGGCGGCTTCGCAACATTCAGGCAGATTGTACAGAACCGAACTCGAGACCTTTTTGCATGCATATTGAGCACTCGCTTGTTAACGACACGATAAAATTGAGGTGTCCCTGGCCGATTAATGGTCGTAGGTTCCCACAACATTCACATGCATAAGTGCCAGTCGCTGCCGCTCCACACGTTACCGGACCTACCGTTAAATCACCCCGTGACCCTCGATCCTACCAATCACCTTCTGAAATTCCGAACACGCTCGGTTACTGCTTACAGAACGAGCTCGCAGTTGAGAAATTGAGGCTACATTTTTCACGAAAAATAGGAAAATACATGTAGGTCTAACAAACCTCGCTTAGCGGCGGTATGAGAAACACCGCTTAGCGGTGGGCCCTGCACGGCTCGGTGCACTCTATAATATATAGCAACCCCGTGGTCGGAAGCAGTGGCGGCGAAATACGAAGTAGAGCCTCGACCCGTTTTTGACGTTTCTTGTCACCGGGCCCTTTTTTGAAGTTTTATTCTGTAGATTTTGTCTCAGGGTATCGGTTATCGACTACGTAGAAAAGGATATATTCTACACTTGTCTTTTGCTTGGGGTACAGTAGGACTGTTAGTTAGATGTACTGCGGCCGTTTTATAACATTTTCTCCTTCGTCTATGCGACGTTGGCGCGGCCAACGGCGGCGATGGCGCGGGACACCTGTCCCACCTTATCTGACGGCGGCAGATCGATGCCTTGGTTTCCTGCCTGGCGAGCCGAAGCGGCACCAAGTCCGACAGCTTCGCGATAGACTACCAGGCCACGCTGAACTGCCTCGAGACGGCCAAGAAGGAGGGGGCCGCGCACTTCGTCATGCTGTCGGCGTTCTGCGTGAAGAAGCCGATCCTTCAGGTGTGGTACTATGGTGCTGCAGTGTTCGTGGAGGTTGACGAGTGTCGGATGGATATGTCTGCCGAATGGTTTTGTAGCACGCGGAGACCATCTAGGGGGGTAAGGGGCACCGTGATGATACACGGGGACCCTACCAGTGTGATGTGCTGTAGGCGCAGTAGTGCTCTAGCCTTCGCGAGGTTGTTAGGCTAACTCTTACGGTAACCGAAAGTTGCCCCGACGGATTTTTTTTGGACGGGCATACCCCCACCCGGCGGATTTGACACAGATTCGACCAAGTGACAGACCTCTCATCACGCCACCACAGAATGACCGGATAGCCACCAAACCTTGAAGGCTGTGCGCACCACACCTGTAAGCGTCTTTCAAGCTAGGGGTGACTGCTATGGGATCTGTGTGTGCTGAGAAATGTCAATTCATGTGAGCAAAGCTAAGAATCCGTGTGGAGAATCCATCGAGGATGCTTCTGTGCGCACAGCCTTCAAGGCTTGGTGGATATCCGATCATCATGGAGGGAGAACTCTGTGGTAGAGTGATGAGAGGTCTGTCCCTTGGTCGAATCCGTGTCAAATCCGCGGGGTGGGGGTATGCCCGTCCAACAAAAATCCGTCGGGCCAACTTTCGGTTACCATGAGAGTCAGCCGTAAGCTCGGTTGTTGTAGGGGGTACGCTGTTGGGTTAGGGTTCAGGGATAGGGGTATGCTGTACGCGCAGTGGCTTTCGCGAGGAAGTTGAGGTTGGTTTTGAGTTGAGGGATACGGGGCGGTTGGGGGTTAGGGATAGGGATAGATAGGGATACGTAACTCCCCACTCGGTTGTTGTGCCGCTGAAGCTTGAGCTTCCCGCACCCGCCTCCTACAAAACGTCCCGCGTCAACCGACGTGTCTGCTTGCCGCGGGAGCTTGAGCTTCCCGCGTGCAACTCCCGAAGATGTCGCTCCAACCAAGGTGATTTCTTTGTGGTCCTTGTCGGCGTGCTGTTTACAGTTCCAGAAGGCGAAGCTGAAGTTCGAGGAGAAGCTGGTGGAGGCGGGTAACGCGGGGGAGATCGGGTACAGCATCGTAAGACCAACCGCCTTCTTCAAGAGCGTGTCGGGACAGCTGGAGGTGCGTGTGTGTTCTTTGTTATTGTTATTATTAGCATCGACCGCGCTAACCGGCTGACCAATGACAATATGTACAGTCTCAGTGCGGTTGAAAACACAAAAGGCCATGATCTGGGACCAACCCCGTGAGGGGGCGTCATGGGGGACGCTATGCTACTCTCCGGATTGGAGACAGATACCGTAGCAATAGCAGAAGAAAAGTATGTGTTTATGATGGAGGGTGTGGCGCGTGCGTTGTGGTTGTGGATGCCGTGGACTGGCAAGGCGCAGCAGTTTCTCGGTCCGTAATGGTTGCTCTTTATCTTCTCGTGCCGGCCCCGGGACAGCTAGAAGGTCTTTGCGTGTTTTTGATCGAGGGTAGCGGCGCTTGCGTTGTGGTTGCGGGTGCCGTGGACTGGCCACACGCAGCAAATATCTCGGTATGATGGTTGCCCTTTAATATTGTCGGCCGTGTCGCAGCGATCGCCACAGAGTCCTCCTGCTCTTCTCTGGTGGATAGCTAGCTTTGACTTTTGGGGTTTACTGTACTGAGGGTTTGGTACCTGAGCCTACAGGAGGCTGTTGAACCCTCGGGCCGTCTGGTGGAACAGTCGGTCTCTCCGGAGCAGCGGTGGGAACCGCGAAGTACAGTTTCACGGGACAGGATAGAGTTGTGTAGGAAGAGGCGACGGGGAACTCTGGAATCAGAGGTCGAAAAGTGGAAAGTGACGGGTCGAGGGGCGAGTGGGGCTGTGCACAGCACAGCGCCAACGCGGAATCACTTTGAGCTTGGCGTGGACGCATGCAACGCTGAATCGGCATGCTGCCCCGCCGGCACCCATACTAATCCAAGCACAATGGGCGCCCTGATACTGAAACCAGCAGTGAGGCAGCTGACATGGATTCCCTGCGAGTGACATGTTGAAGACGTCCAGTGGACGGGGGTATCTTGGAACACGCGTATTACAGCAGTGACGTTCGGATGCATGCGTGCAGTGCAGGAATTGATCCGCAGAACAGAGCGTGCTTCTCAGTTAGACCGGGAACTCACATTACCAAACAACGTATGTGTATGAATACATTCGTTGAATCCTACACACGCACAAGCTTGTGGTGCATGTCTCAGAAAGGATGTTTTAGAGAGGTTCATTGCGGCGTTTAGCATTCAACGAGTTGCGCATTTTTCGAATTTTGGCCTCGTTCCAAGGGCCTTGGTTTTCCCCCGCTGGGAATGGCGTCTTTTCATTGGTCAGTCGGTTAGCGCGGTCCATCCTGACTACTGAAACATACACAGCAGTTACCTTGGCGAGGATATTACGCGTTGTTGTTAGGGTTTCGGGTGAAGGTTAGCCTTACGATCCCCCCCTCTCGTATATCAAATATGTTAGCCGTTGCTTAATATCCTCGCGAAGGCGGTCACACCCACACTGTCGTGTATTTCTTGCTCCTGGACAAAACTTCGCTAATATAAAATTGTATTTTCTCATACTTCGAAGTACATGATAATTAAGATATGTTAGGACAATCTTCATGTTCTCTTTATCCTGGTGTTGCATCTCTCTTCGCCATTCTTGCTTTGTGTCGAAACGATCGCAGGTGGTGCAAGGCGGAGCGCCGTTCGTGGTCTTCGGCGACGGCACCATGTGCAAGTGCAACCCCATCGCGGAGGCGGATTTGGTGAGTGCCGGCCTACCCCCCACCCCCCGATTGGCCATCGGTGATCGGTCCTGTGGGAACAATGCTCCGTCCTTTCGAGGACGCGT